ATAAATGCCACGGTCCTGCTCTGGTCAATAAAGGATCCTTTGGAGATACATAGTGGTGGTGTTCCTTAAGAAGCCTCAAACTAGTGGATATGCTCTCAGGCTTTCCTCCAGCCATTGCTGTTAACTACCCTTTAATGGGTCTTGAGACTTAAGGGGCCAGCTTTCCATCCTGGCTCACCCAAAAGAATCCCCCATCCAAGGGAGCAAGGAATGGAAGGAGGGAGTAGGTAGTCCTCACAAATAAGGGAGCTTTAGAGGTACTAAAGTTGGGTGCAGAACACTTATGACAGCCAGTCAGGATTCATGACAGCGACCCCAAATGCTCGTAAGCCCAGGAATTGGTTATTCCATACCTCTTCCCCTCCAGCCAGGGGAATCCTCCCACCCGCTAGGGTATGGCTGCTGATTCCATCAACCCTGGTATACTTCACACATCGGGGTGGTGTCAGACCTTTGCTGGAGAACAAAATAAAATGTGGCTCAAACGGAGACCTGGAGCAGAGGTAAAGGGAAGTGGAAGTCTCGGGAGCCCGGAAGTCCCCGGAGGCTGAAACCTCGCCCCCCTAGCGTGATAGGGCCTAGTAGGCCACATGACTAAGGCACTACCGCCTCTGCACGTGTAGGGGTGCAGGGCCCCAAAATGGCTGCCAAGCCTCGAGGCCTGACGCCTGTATGTCACTTCCGTACCGGCGAGAAGGGCGGGCCTCGTAGCCAATGAGGCCGCAGGGCGGGCCTTCACCTTGATAGGCGTTCAAGTTATCCAATGGTGGCTGCGAGCTAGAGCGCCTACAAACTAACGTCACGCCGAGTTGCTGAGCGCCGGCAGGCGGGGTTGAGGCAGCCAAGCCAATGGGATGGCTGGGGCGGGGTCGGGCGCTCTATAAGTTGTCGATAGGCGGGCACTCCGCCCTAGTTTCTAAGGATCATGTCTGCGAGTCAGGACTCCCGGTAAGAAAAGCATTTGCTAAAAATTGGGGCTACTTACCCTACCGTTCCCTTTCGAGGGCCCTGCGAAAGGTGCTGAGGCCCACCGCCCTAAGCCCACCAGTGTTGTGGGAGAATCAAACCCGGAGGGACCCGTCTTGGGGGAGAGGAGCGGGCAGACCCACCGCCGTAGTTGCCGCCAGGGCCTATACAGGACATCCTTGCTTTTGGGCCTAGAACGCGAGGTTCGTTAGGAAGCCTGGACCCGATGCGGTGCACGAAGCTCCGGCGCCGAGTGGCTAGACGAGGTCGCGACCTAGCGTGGGATAGAAAGGTAGAGGCGGCCGCAACTGTGCGTGGCCCAGAGCCGGCTGGTCCGGTTGCCTCACTGCTGGAGGGAGGGCTCGCGCGCGCTCGGATTCCGAAGGATTCTGGCAGTACCACTCGTCTAGGCGGCGGGAGTTGGGGGTGGTCCTGCGTCCTCAGGTCCAGTTGTTCCATCGCGTTGAGATACGGATCGGGAAAGAAGAAACCAGCTTTTCAGTGTGCTGGTTTTCCTTACGGCCAGGGCTGAGCCTAACCCCCAGGAGCGGCCGCGGGAGCCGCCAGGAGCCCACCCGGCGCCGGGCGGGCGGGTCTATTTTGCGGCACAAACCGGGCAATTGGTAACTGTAGGTGGGCAGGTCTACTTTCCTTTAGGGATGAGCGCCTTGAGGTATGGGAAGGCGACGCCATTTCGCGACGGGGCGGGCGGGATGTGAATTGTCCATGGTGTGGAGAGACGTGGCTGGGTGGTCGAGATAAGCGAGCACATGGCGGCCCGAGGTGCTCCCCTCCCCCAGTCCGCTTCGACTCTAAGTGTTGTGCAATCTCCCCCTGTGCTAGCTCGGCTGGGGCTCATTGTGCGCGAGGCCGCCACCGCCCGCGGCCTCCCACATCCGGGCACCACGAGGGGGGAGATGGGCTTGGAGGGAGTGGGGGAGGGCGCGGGCGGAATGACGTGGGGGGAAGGGGATGTCCTACCTTCGGATCTGGGAGGTGAAGGGCGGGACTTCCGGCGCGCTGGGGCCGCGATGGGAGGTGCACGCTCTTGGCCTTGGAGCGCCGGTCCCGGGACACGTGAGTCCAACGGCAAGCATCACCTCCCCGCCTTGTAAGCCGGCATTGCTCCTCCCAGCTTTTATGTCTTCTTAAAGGTTACCCCATCGTATCGGGGCGGCTTGACCTGGGCTGCTCCCTGGATGTGGCAATGGCCTGATTCAGCTGTACAGTATCTACTGTATCTTCTAGGAACTGGTGGGGTGTGGGTCAGAGAGTGAAGGCTGATGGCATCATGCAAGGCCGGTTGCTGGTAGAAATGTCCCAGCTGTCAGGTTTTTTTAATGTGCCTCAGTCAGCATATTCTACTTTAACAGATCCAGAGACAATGGCCCGGATGGAATGGAGCCCGAAGGCGTCATCGAGGTGAGATTGGATCCCTAACCATCATTTCCCTTCACTCCTTTCCC